ACGGTTAGTTCACTCATGGCTCATTCACTCATTAACATTGTGTTAGGCCTAACATGCTCAGAGACTGAGAAAAGGCACATGGTCATAAACAGAGACTTGGTTCCTGCCTTCAAGCAGCCTGCAGTATAGTTGGGGTGGATTTCCATGCCATCAGAATATTCCCCAATCAAAACACTCCATCTATAACACCTGGTGCAATCACTGTTCAAACTTTCACAAAATTATGTGCCCACTTTTTACATCAGCAAATGTCCCCACTTACCATGCAGTTTCAGTTTTACCTTTACCTACTACAGGGAAATATAAAAAGCACAGTACCTTTTTATGCTTCCCTGTAGTAGGTAAAGGTAAAACTAAAACCGCATGGTAAGTGGGGACATCTGCTGATGGGAAAAGCGTCTGGTAGACTGAATTATAGTCTCATAAAGGACCATCCTATCAACATCAACCATCACTTTGTTGCTCATGCTTCTCCAGCATCTATCTACAAATCTAACCAAGTTCTGTTTCATTATTTTCAACTTCCAGTGACAGTTCACTTGAACTACCCTTCAGACTCAGTTCTGAAGTCAAACTTGGCCCATGGTATGTCTCAAATCATCACCCTCTGCAAACATCTCTATCCCTGTCTATGGTACCCTTATTTCATCATCCCTCATAAGCATTTTCTACACCCAATCAATTTCCAAGCTGTGTATTAAGCAGAGTCGTGGGCACATCATAGACGTTCAATATTTACTTGTGGATTCAGTGGACACGTTTTATATCCTGGGTAACCTCTGTAGGCTAATACCAACTATGGATCTGACACACACTTCTAATGATAGTGGTTAAGAGGACGGCTTTTGTTGAGAGACGGATCTGATCTGGGTTTGCTCCAATCTATGCTACTTAGGATCTCAGTGACTTTGGACACATTTCCTGTTTACAAATATAAGTTATTAGGGTTGTGAGAATCAAATATAAAATGCATGTAAAGCTCAGAGCACAGAGATATTATTTGTCTTAGTCTCTTAGTCCACTATCAATGTTTATCCATCTAAATAATCAAACGTGAAATCCAAATGAGTCCAAATCCAAAGATGGTATCAGTGGTATTCAACTTGAGAACTTTAGCTGGACTACTTAAAAATTGCAAGAAGGGAGCATAAAATATTTTCAGTGGAAACAGATCTCACTTATTCTCTTAGATCCATCCTCCAGTGTATTCAGTTTTGAAAATTTCAAATAAAAATTATCTAATGCAGGAAGCTTCACTGAGTGCTAGCTGCATTCATAGTAGCTACTTAACCAATTAGGCTGGAATACCTTCCCACTTTCCCTCTGGAAACCTACCTTTAGTTTCTTAACGAGGTCTCTTGTTTTTGTCAAGCTTTCCCCGGCCCCACACACAAGATCTACGCCCAACTGGGATCCACTTTGGGAATTAACCACAAAAGATGTTTCTTCTCTGCCCCATCACACAGCCACAGTTAGGTGTGGCCATGTCTTCCCCAGTGGTCATGAAGCCCTGAGGTGTCTGCCCTGTACACAGTAGATGCTGAATCAGTACTCTGTATTTCAGATGGTTGAGAAAGACTGGAGGGGGCAGAATGAAAGGCCAGAGGATAGAAATTAAAGTTACTTGTGCAACTCCCACCAAACTTAGAGGGTAGGCTGAGAAGAACAGTGCATAACCTCAGAGGAGGGAGAAGGAACTCCAGTGAATGTGCATCCAGGGTCAAAGAAAAGTAGAAATTTTGGTCCCATCACTTGACAATAATTGCATGGTCTTAACATTTTCTTCCTCCTTTGCTTCTGGAAAATGCATGGCACGTACTGGGCCCTCAATGAGTAGGCACTGAATGACTAAATGAGTGCTGCTTCTCTCTTGTTCTTTTTGTTCCTTCATGTTCTTTGTAACTACTCAAGCTTTCCCCTCACCACCCCAATACAGCCATTCTCTCTCTCTCTCCCCCTCTCCCTCTCTCTCTCTCTCTCTCTCTCATCTGCTATCTGCTAACTCCATGTGTAGTAATATAAGGTATGTAGGCGTGTGTGTGTGTGTGTGTGTGTGTGTTTATCATTTTTCATTTACAAAGGAGAAAACAGAAGTTCCAAAGTCCAAAACTGAGCACCCAAGTTTACACAGCTGTCCATACAGCTAGTGATAAAGTTGGCGCAGGTAAGGTCCTATTCCCCCAGAGCCCTTCCACTTTTGTGTGCATCAGTCTATGATGCACTTTGACTCCCAACAGCCAGCAGCTGCGACCCTTTACCCAAAGGACACCCAGTAGGCCAGAACTCATTTGCTAGTCAGTGTCAATGTGGTACTAGAAGTACATGGAGTTAAGTCTCCCTCCCACCCACCATCAAGGGGAACCAGGGGTGGCTGATCTTAACTAATGATTGACAGGTGGGAAGGCATAAAGACTACCGCTCTCCAGGGCCCAGTCGGCACAGCTCTGATGTGTGAGGCACACTACCCCACATCTACCAGGGGTGATTAAGCCCAAGTGACCTTCAGAGGACTTCTCAATGTCGTACCCTTGCCCGGCCTCTTCCTTTTCCCTGTCCATCTTCTCTGGAAACCCTGGTAATAAATCTTTCGCACAAATCCTCGCAGAAACCACCACCTCTAGGGACCCAGACTAAGGCAAGGGAGATGTAGGATTCAAACCCAAGCCTGTCTGTCTTCAAAGTTTTTTCCCACTATGCTGTGGTTGAGATGTTATTACAATCACACCAGTCTGCTCTTTGTTCATCTTACAGTTATACACTTAAAATGCATGACACAACCCCATCTCTACTAAAAGTACAAAAATTAGCTGGGTGAGGTGGTATGTGCCTGTAATCCCAGGTACTTGGGAGGCTGAGGCAGGAGAATCACTTGAACCCAGGAGGTGGAGGTTGCAGTGAGCTGAGATCATGCCACTGCACTCCAGCCTAGGCAACAGAGAGGAACTCCATCTCAATAAAATAAAATAAAATGTATCACACATACATTTAAAAAATTCGAATGGCCACTCTGACTTCAGGCATCTTGAAGACAAATATGTATTCAAACACTCTATGCTTGCTTACTTTTTCTTACTATAATTATATCGTCTCTGAGGCAAAAGAGCTTTGAATATCTTAGCAAAATAAAATAAAGGGCTCAAAGGGGAGAGAAAAGGTTATTTTTGAACTTGTCTTTGTAATTGCCCCTTGCCTGGGTCCATAATTAAATATAAACTAAAAAGAACTTTAGTTATTGAATGTTGTCTTTTAAGTATTTTCATTATATGAGTAATGTAATGACACTAGAGAAATTTGAAATCCAGGGGAGAAATAAACACCCAAATACTCTAATCCAACCATTTACCAACTATTTCCTGTATAAACGATTTCCTTTCACTTAGAAACTATTTCCAGTACACTAATCCAACCATATACAAACTATTTCCTTCCAGCAGTTATCACAGCTTTTTGCGCAGCCCAGGGATCCATGCATTTGAGGTGGCTGCAGTCCTGCTTCAACGCTGGGGTTTCCTGTGTGTTTGCCTTTGGCCCAAGCGGTTTCCATGTAACACAGTTCTTGTGGCTGTCATTTTTAATGGTTGCACATTGTTACACCCAGAGGATGTACTATATATTATCACCCTTTTGGCTGCTTTTGATGTTTAATATTAACCTTATTAAGTAATAAGATTGTGTTGAACGTGCCATTTTGGTTTTGCTTCTATTCTTTTTTTCCTATGTCAGATCATACCTTTAAAAGAAATTTCCAAGACTTGAGCTATCGGATAAAGGAATAATGTTTATAGCTTTTGATACACACTGCCACTTTTTCTCCAGTCCTGCCTCATCAAAATACGTACTAATCTGTGTTATCATAAGCCAACATGAAACAAAGGTATTCCAAACTCAGCGTGGTTTCTCATTCTTTCACGAGTTCTGTTCTACCAAAATGAATTCATTTTAAATTTCTCGATTTCATACAAAGGTCTTGAAATTTTCTCTAGAATGTTATGAGCCCATAGCATCCCTCATAAAAATGATGGGGAACTTAAAATGAGACAGAATGTGAAAGTGACATTTCAGTCATCCTTAAATATATGTAGTGCTCATTTTAATTCTAAGCTTTCTCAATTGCTAAGCATTTCATGCAGGGATTAGTCCTCGAGCTTGAGTTGCCTGATTGATCCAATCATCCTCACTCGACACTAAATAGGGCACCTTTCAATGGGTGATGTGGGCTCACTGAGTTGGATGCATATTTTGTGAACATTAATTTATGCCTGCACCTTGAAACGCAGAGGATAAGGAATGTTGATAAGAAAAACAAGCAAGAAGGGATTCCCATTTTCTCAGCTATTCTGTGGTTTGCCTGAGTTCATCCTAAGATTTCATAACAGAACAGGACACAGAACAGGACAACTGAGACTCTCTTACAATTTTTACCAAGCCAAAAAGCCATTTGAGAGTTCTAGCAAAAAAGTGGAAAACCCAGCCAGACTCCCAGAAACATCATTCAGGTGACACCAGACATGCTTGCAGATAAACATTCCATCAATTGAATTTTCTCCCTTTAAACTTTCAAAAATTAATTTAAAGAAGCTCATTTTCTGTGGCACTTCAAACCCAACAAGCACCAACTTGCATTTTGTTTCAAGAAAGCATTTTACTTTAACCCAATAACATATTGTTTCTCGGTAAATTGTCAAAACTCCTGGTTTTCTTACAGCCACATCCCATTCTTGCCTTCACCCTGAGGATCATAGTCGGAGGGCTGATGATCTCCCACAAATGATTCCACAGCCTTTTTTTTTTTTAATTTGGCAGGGCTTTCTGGGTTAGGATAATTCTGGGTAATCCTAATTAGAGCCCTATCCAAGCTTAAACTCCATAACCGAACAAACCAGTTTTACAACTCAAAGGATTTAATTTGGCCTCACACTTGCAGTGGGGAAATACACACACACACACACACACACACACACACACACACAAACACACACACAGAAAAACTGGCAGCTCAGCTAACAGGCAACTGAATGTTGGACACACTGCCAGCCTGGTCCAATTAAGAAACATTAGAAGTCTAATGACTTAAAGAGGAACGGTTCACACAGGACACAAGGTTCTTGACAGCAGCCAAGCAAATTGCAAAGTCTCCAGCTCAGGTACGCGAATCCCTTCAATATTTCAAAACAGCCAGGGACCAGTAGAACCTGGCTTATATGCTTTCTTGCATACGTAGGGAAAAAGAATCCAGGTGGAGAACCTGGCTAAACATTGATCTCAGAACAAAACTCCATTTAAGACTAAAAAAAAAAAAAAACCTATGGGACATTCCTGGGTACAACAGAACACATGAAATATTGCCATTTTGCCTATTAATACTTATTCCTGGGAAATTAACAAAAACCATTGCCTGGGTGCACTTCATCCTGTCCTTCCCTCCCACTACCAGCCCCTTCAAATGCACCTCCTGGAAAAAAAACGGAACCAAAACAATGTCATGAAAAACACTTGGGCGAGGGTTTTCATTTACTCCATGCCAAGTATTTTATTTTTAAGCCTGATTTGACCAAGTCAGGCTCAGGCAAAGCAAGTTTCAGATCCTGCTGTCAGTGAAAATTGCAGCGCCGCCATCTGCTTACCTGTCACCAGGACTGCCTTTTGATCCACAGGTAACAACTCTTGCCCAGATAAGTAAGTATACATGAGGCAACATGACAGAGAGAAGAGGATCAAGCCCCAAAAAGGGGACAGGATGAGCAGGCACACTGCGCAGAGGCCTGCCAGGCAGACCATGCAGCTCGGCACCGGTCTCGGGCTCTTCTTGTATTTGCACAGAACTGTCCCACACAGTACCGTGGGGATAGCCAGGCAGATCCATGCTGTCTCCGAGAAGAAAGTGCTCATTCTCAGCGATTTGCTGCACCTTCAAGTGTTCAGGACCAGTGAGTCTGGTGGGCAAAGGCTGGCTGGAGGCAGCCTGAGTTATAAGAACAGAGAGGCAAGAAGGGAGGGGAGAAAGCAGCCCCAGCCCCTTTCGACTGAGCATAGATTAAGCATAATCATACAGGCACATATTCCCAGTGGGCAATTTAAACCAGTGTGCACTTCAACATAAATACCAAGGCACTTCCTATTTGACCGCTCTCCCCCCTCCCCACCCCCTGCACACACAACACGTGCACATACTCACCCACAAACACACACCTTCTGGTTTTTTTTTTTTAATGACAGTCCACCTCTGGAGAGATGACTAATTGGATAATAATTGACAGAATTCAAACTGCACGGAGAACAACAGGAAAATCCTCTAGCTGACAGGAAAATACTGTCTTCTTCAAGAGCCTGCAGTGTGTCTGGGTGTTGAGTCCTTTTTCTGACTCAGGAGTGAGTGTGTGTGTGTGTGTGTGTGTGTGTGTGTGTGTGTGTGTAAATCCAGGCAATTGATGAAGTTTGGAAGATAGATTCTGGAAGAGAAGGCATCTCTGATCTGGTCCATGGCTTCAGGACTCCTATAAATCCCAACTGAGGCAGGCTGAAGGGCTGGATGGAGAGGGAATATGGGAGCAGAGGAAGATATTCCTTGGCAGAGGAAAGTGCTTTGGTCTTGCCAGAGGGGAAACCTGCCAGGGAGAGATGATAATGACAATTAACTAATAGCGGCTGATATCTATGGGTACTTGTTTGTGGCAGAGGCTTTGTGTAGCTGCTCATTTGTTCATTCTCTTTATTTTGAGCATATTCTATGCCAGCCTCCATTCACTGGGACTCACCTCATTCTCCTTGAATATAATATCCTTATGAAGTTGGTTCTAGTATTATGATAATTGTACAGGTGAGAAAACCAGGGCACAGAGAGGATAAGAGACTTAGTCAAGATCACACAGCAGTGGAGTCTTATAGCCTGATCTCAGAGCTTTATGCTCTTAAGCACTCTATTCCACTGCCTGCTTTATGCAAAGAATTAAAAAAAAATTAGTACATTATGTGCTAGCTCTTTCCTACTTTCAACCCATTTCAACCTTATAAAACCCTTTGAGGTGGGTATTATTATGGTCAGTTTACAGAGAAAAAAATTGAGGCTGGGAAAAAATAAGTCCCTTACTCACAAGTGGCTTAAAAGCCAGCAGTCTGCAGCTGCAGCACCACCGACCAGTGCCGAGCCCAAGGGAGCCACTGTACCTGGGCTCAAGGTGTGTCCCACGTGGGCCATGTACCCAGCTGGAGGGAGGCAGGGTTCTGATAAAGGCTGGGTGTTGACAAAGCTAGAGAGAAATATTCTCTATTTGAGGTCAGTTTCCCTGTATTCAAATCTAATCTTAGCTCCACCACTTAATAATTATGTAGTCTTGGGTGGGTCACTTCACCTCCCTAGACCTTCATCCCTTCACCTATAAAATAATATCATATCCTGCCTGGAACAGTAGAAGGAACCTCATAAATGCTAGTGATTCATGCTTTTTTAAACAGGAGGAGAAGGAAGAATAAGAGGAAGTCTTGTAAAACAAAGTGTCCATTGGAATAAAGACCTGTCCCAAAACATTTGCTGGAGTTAAACGAGGGACAGGAAAAGGAGGGGAGAGAATGCCTTTTGTGGATGATGTTGGTGAGGCACGTCTTGGGAAGGAACGGACCCAGCAGCATATCCCCTGTAAAGGGAGGTGAGGCAGAGCCCACCTGGGCTGAGAGCCAACTCAAGACCCCAGGGAGAAGGGGTGGGAAGCAGTGTCGGGAACCATTACTGTGCTGTGGTATTGTGGGCCTGGAGAACAAGGCAGTTAGGAGGGTCTACATGGAGTGATGGCAACTCTTGTCTGCCCTCCCAGACACATGGACATTTGAGTCAGTGAGATATTACCAGCTCCTGGTCGGGAAGCTTAGGGGTGGGGATCTGGAATTGTCTTTGGCTAGCCCTGAACTCTCCCCTGCCTCCACAGACCGCATTCCTTCCTGGGTGCCATCTGAGCCACGGAGCGCCTCTCACAATCCTTGTGGCCTCACCAGCCGGGAACATCCTGGCTGTTAGCTCTGGTCCAAAAATAACTTCCAGGTGGGAAGGCAGGACTAGTTGTGACTCTTTGCTGAGAGTCTTGGTATTTTGTCAGTGGCTCCCACATCTGGGCTGGACCAAACACCTGTGCAGGTTTCCTATCAAGTGCATGCCCACCTGAAAGGAGCTGACTTTTCTTCAGGAGGTGCCCCTGTGACTTACCAGACTTGCTCTGTCCTGGGGCTCCCAAAGTGCTATTTCCTGCTACCAGAAGAGGGACCATTTTGAAATTGCCTTCTGAAAACAAAACATCCTACCCAAAAGGAAGGATGGCCCAATCTGACCCCCCCACCAAAAAAAAATGCTGAGAATCCTCCAGTGTACAGATTCTTTTGCTCAAGAATTTGTGAGCCAAAGCCACCCTCAGGCCACACAGAAGTCCCAAGAAGGATGCTCCCTGACCCCTGATGGTGAAGGTGCTGAAAAGCATTAAGAACATGAGCTTTCAAGTGTCACAGCCTTTTAACTTGAGTTTGAATCCTGGCTTAGCTGTGAGGCATGGGGCAAGTTACCTGCCCTTCCTAAGCCTCAGTTTCCTCCCCTGTGAAATGGGGGTAGGAGAAGTCCTGCTTCCAAGGGCTGTTTTGAAAAGTGAATGGCATCATTCTTGCATTGTCCCTGGCACTGACAGGCATGCCTAGATGGTAGGCACCTTTCTCATTGTCGGGAGTACCCACTGCTTCTTAGCCTTTTTCCTCTGGGCAGAGAGAGAGTTTCTGGCCAGTCACCTCCTCACTCGTTTATTTCTTCTTTCGGTTCAGCACACAGCTGTTTCCCTTGTCATCCTTCAGATATCTGCTTAAACATCACCTCCTGTTACCCAACCTGAATATCTTCCACCAGCCCACCTTATTCATTCCCTTTATTGCACTTAGCTCGATCCACAATTATATATTTCCTTTGCTCATTTTAAGAATATTTTCTACCTCCCCTAGTAGACCATAAACTTCTTGAGGGCAGGAACTTTATCTGATTATTGTTTTTTCTTTACTGTTCACCAAATGCCCAGTCCAGTGACTGATACATCACATATACATAATTAATATTTGTGGGATAAAGATAGGAAGGAACACATCTCTATTTAGAGCCTTCTAGGTGGCTAGTTCTGCGCCAGCTGTGGAGGGATTCAGCAGTGAACACTATAGACCCAGTTCCTGGCCCTGCAGAGTTGAGGGCCCAGTGCTTCCAGGATGCCTGCTGCAGGAGCAGGGACTAGTGGGGATGCAAGGTGGTAGAAAGGAAGGCTATTTACCAGTAGGGGAACATATGGAATGCTAGACTCTCCAGGTGAGAACGAGCCCAATCCTTTCTGAGCCCTGAATGTCCTCATCCTAACCTCAGGGTCAGTCCATCTGAGAGCTACCATTGAGTGATGATGTTCTCCATCCTACTGAGCTAAATCATGTCCCTTATTTGTCCTTGCCTTTTTGTCCTGAAGCTATTCTAGAGGCCATCATGACTTGACTAGTGTCCTATTTCTGGCAAGTTGGCTCTCAGCCTTCCAGGGAAAAGGAGCCAATTGGACCAACTCATGCTTGCTAATGATGCCAATGGGTCATTGCGCTATTTCCTTCTACTAGCAGAGGGGCCTTTTTGAAAATTGCCTTCTGAAAACAAAACATCTTACCCAAAAGGAAGGATTGCCCAACCTGGGGAAAAAAAATGCTGAGAATCCTCCAACGTACACTTTCTTAGAATCCATGGATCTTGAGTTTAGAAGTTGAAGAAGGAGCTTCCCATCTAAAATGGGGATTGTCTCTGTAACATCCCCACCAAGTGGTCATCTTGTCTATTGCCAGAGTATCTCTGAGAACAGGCATCTCACTGCCTCTGAAGGCTGATTTTTCCCATGCAAAGTTGCTTGGGATATTAGAACATTCTCCTCTAGGCCAAATTCATCTTGACATTTGTCTTCCCTCTCCACATGGAGTCAGAGAATGTCTTGTTCTATTTCTTTCAGATATTTGAAAGATATTTCAGAGCTCAAACGTTTTTTTAAAATCACACTGTTACAATAACTGAAGAACATTTTGCTATGGTGAGGGTTACATAATGATGGCATGATTTGCCAAGCAGAGAATGACTGTGTGTTGATGTCATAGTGACCCAAAGTTCAGGATATAGACAAGGTGGTACAAACCGTCACAGAGCATCTCAGAGAAATCACAGAGATCTTGTTGGTAACACGAGTTTTTTTTTTTGTCTTTTTTTTTTTCTTTGCTTTTTGAGCATTAGGGTGATAACTACCGTTTTAAGTGTTTGTGATTGTGCAAATATCATGTATTATATATTTATCTATTTCATACAGTGGGCAGGGTGGAGACCAAGAGAAGATGACCAGAATTTGGGGCTGTACCATGTCTTTTTTCTGTCTTTGAAATAGTATGTGGTAAATATGTCTAAACTCCTCACTTGTCATAAGTTCCAAGTAAGTCAGATCTTTTTTTTTTTTTGTATAGTATTTCAAGGATCTTCAGCTGCTTCTTAGAATGGCATTCAATTACTTACATCTCCCCTGAAAGATTAGGCCCAGAACTGGGCACAATATTTTCAGTACAGTGCAAAGAACATAGAATAGAATAAGATTATCACCTCTCCTAGCCTTGAAGCTATATTTTTGCTTATGTGACCAAAGACTTATTTGCTTTTTTAACAAAAGTGACCTATTATTGATTGCCACGGTGTTTGTTATCAAATAAAATTCCAGTTTTTATAGTCTCCGTGTCAGTTTAACTTTTTATAGTAAAATATCATACACGTGGGGAAATTATCCAAAATATAAGTAAATATTCATTCATCCATAGTGATATAAATACATGATCAGCTCGGTGGATGGGAAGCAATGAGGGTAGGGTGAGACAATCTACTGAAATTAAACAGTAGCAGATTTATCTGATGATTGGCTTTTAGTCCACCCCCTGATTCATCAATTATTTACTAAATGTTTATTCTGAGCCAATAGATAGAGATACAGACCCCTCTTTGACCTTGAGGCTTGCACGTGCGTGAGGAGTAAGGCACGCTCCTGCATGCATTGTCCTTGCGTTTCATACACAGTGAATCAGTGAATTCTGTTAGTAAAAGACAGATTGAAAGATCCCCAAGCTCTATTTCAATTTATTCACATCTTGACAATGATTCTCCATCTACACAACTTTACTTCTCCTAAATACATTAAGAGATCAACATGTATAAAAATATGTCTGCCCATGTGTCCCAGTATTACTCTCTCTCTCTCTCTCTCTCTCTCTCTCTCTGTCTCTCTCCTTATCCTCTCTCCTTATCCTCTCTCCTAAGTTTCTTTTTTTTAAACTGCATTTTAGATTTTGGGGTACATGTGAAGAACATGCAAGATTGTTGCATAGGTACACACATGGCAGTGTGATGTGCTGCCTTCCTCCCCTTCACCTACATCTGGCATTTCTCACCATGCTATCTCTCCCCAACTCCCCATACCCCGCTGTCCCTCCCCTATTTCCTCCTGACAGACCCCAGTGTGTGATGCTCCCCTCCCTGTGTCCATGTGTTCTCATTGTTCAACACCCACCTGTGAGTGAGAACATGCAGTGTTTGATTTTCTGTTCTTGCATCAGTTTGCTGAGAACAATGGTTTCCAGATTCATCCATGTCCCTACAAAGGACACAAACTCATCGTTTTTGATGGCTGCATAGTATTCTATGGTGTGTATGTGCCACATTTTCCCTGTCCAGTCCATCATCGATGGGCATTTGGGTTGGTTCCAGGTCTTTGCTATTGTAAACAGTGCTGCAATGAACATTCATGTGCATGTGTCCTTATAGTAGAAAGATTTATAATCCTTTGGCTATATACCCAGTAATGGGATTGCTGGGTCAAATGGAATTTCTATTTCTAGGTCCTTAAGGAATCTTCACACTGTCTTCCACAATGGTTGAACTAATTTACACTCCCACCAACAGTGTAAAAGTGTTCCTATTTCTCCACATCCTCTCCAGCATCTGTTGTCTCCAGATTTTTTTAATGATCGCCATTCTAACTGGTGTGAGGTGGTATCTCAATGTAGTTTTGATTTGCATTTCTCTAATGACCAGTGATAATGAGCTTTTTTCATGTTTGTTGGCCTCATGTATGTCTTCTTTTGTAAAGTGTCTATTCATGTCCTTTGCCCACTTTTGAATGGGCTTGCTTGTTTTTTTCCTATAAATCTGTTTTAGTTCTTTGTAGATTCTGGATATCAGCTCTTTGTCAGATGGGTAGATTACAAAAATTTTTTCCCATTCTGTTGGTTGCCAATTCACTCTAATGACTGTTTCTTTTGCCGTGCAGAAGCTGTGGAGTTTGATTAGGTCCCATTTGTTTATTTTGGCTTTTGTTGCCAATACTTTTGGTGTTTTGGTCTTGAAGTCCTTACCTATGCCTATGTCCCGAAAGGTTTTGCCTAGGTTTTCTTCTAGGGTTTTTATGGTGTTAGGTCTTATGTTTAAGTCTTTAATCCAGAGTTAATTTTAGTGTAAGGTGTCAGGAAGGGGTCCAGTTTCTGCTTTCTGCACATGGCTAGCCAGTTTTCCCAATGCCATTTATTAAACAGGGACTCCTTTCCCCATTGCTTGTTTTTGTCAGGTTTGTCAAAGATCAGATGGTTGTAGATGTCTGGTGTTGCCTCTGAGGCCTCCGTTCTGTTCCATTGGTCTATATCTCTGTTTTGATCACTGTAGCCTTGTAGTATAGTTTGAAGTCCGGTAGTGCGATGCCTCCCGCATTGTTATTTTATTTTATTTATTTTTATTTTTTGCTTAGAATTGACTTAGCTATGCGGGCTATCTTTTGGTTCCATATGAAGTTTAAGGTGGTTTTTTCCAGTTCTGTGAAGAAGGTCATTGATAGCTTGATGGGGATAGCATTCAATCTGTAAATTACTTTGGGTAGTATGCTATTTTCACAATATCGATTCTTCCTAACCATGAATATGGAATGTTTCTCCATCTGTTTGTGTCCTCTCTTATTTTGTTAAGCAGTCATTTGTAGTTCACCTTGAAGAGGTCCTTTACATCCTTTGTTAGTTGTATTCCCAGATATTTTATTCTCTTTGTAGCAATTGTGAATGGCTGTTCGTTCTCAATGTGGCTCTCTTTAAGTCTGTTATTGGTATATAGGAATGCTTGTGAGTTTTGCACATTGATTTTTTATCCTGAGAATTTGCTCAAGTTGCTTATCAGTTTCAGGAGATTTTGGGCTGAGACGATGGGGTCTTCTAGATATAGAATCATGTCGTCTGCAAATAGAGACAATTTGACTTCCTCCTTTCCTATTTGAATATCCTTTATTTCTTTTTCTTGCCTGATTGCTCTGGCTAGAACTTCCAGTACTATATTGAATAGGAGTGGTGAGAGAGGGCATCCTTGTTGAGTGCCAGATTTCAAAGGGAATGCTTCCAGTTTTTGCCCATTCAGTATGATATTGGCTGTGGGTTTGTCGTAAATAGCTTTTATTATTTAGAGATATGTTCAATCAATACCTAGATTATTGAGGGTTTTTAGCATAAAGGGATGTTGAATTTTGTCAAAGACCTTCTCTGCATCAATTGAGATAATCATGTGGTTTTTGTCTCTGGTTCTGTTTATGTGGTGAATTGCGTTTATATACTTGCGTATGTTGAACCAGCCTTGCATCCCCGGGATGAATCCTACTTGATCATGGTGGACAGGCTTTTTGATGTGCTGTTGCAATCGGTTTGCCAGTATTTTATTGAAGATTTTTGCATCTATGTTCCTCATGGATATTGGCCTGAAGCTTTCTTTTCTTGCTGAGTCTCTGCCAGGTTTTGATATCAGGATGATGTTGTTCTCATAAAATGATTTGGGAAGGATTCCCTCTTTTTGGATTGTTTGGAATAGTTTCATAAGGAATGGTATCAGCTCCTCTTTGTATGTCTGGTAGAATTTGGCTGTGAATCCGTCTGGACCTGGGCTCTTTTTGGGTGGTAGGCTCTTAATTGCTGCCCCAACTTCAGACCTTGTTATTGGTCTATTCAGGGTTTCGGCTTCTTCCTGGTTTAGGCTCAGGAG